CTCAAGCCACTGGGGTCCGGCAGGCTGGCGAGGAGAGGGCACTGGGAAGAGCCTGGCGTGGAGCTGTGGAGGGGAGAGGACCCTTCGGCCCCCAGGGTCAGCAGGAGCAGGGGCCGTGGAGAGGAGGTGAGAGGCCATCACTGGTGCAGCCCTTGCCTTCGAGCAGCCCTCCTTCCTCCTGCTTCTCCGTCCCCAGGCCTCTGTGGCGCCTGGAGCAGTCTTTGTTTCTTTGCTAGCCGATTTGTTGTCCCGGTCCCTCGTGACTCTAGGCTGGCACCAGCCTGCCCAATGCGGGGCCCTGGGTGCAGGGGCTTGCCTGTTTGGCTCGGTGCTGCACTCCTGGCCTGGTAGTGGTTGGCACAGAGCCGACGTTCAGTGAGCACGTGGCAGGGTGGGGAGACAGAGGAGGGGAAGCTGTTCATGGTAGGCCGCGGGACTGAGATTCAAGGGCAGCTGGGCGCCGGCCCCTGTGAGCCTGTGAAGGCCTCTGGGGACCCTCGTGTGGTCCTTACAGGTTTTGGGGTAGCTTTGAGATGGAGGGGTTTGGGTCTGTTCAGCTGCTGCAAGAAGACACCGGACTGGGTGGCTGATAGGGCCAGAAATTCCTTCCTCCCAGCTGTGGAGGCTGGAGTCCAAAACCAGGGTGCCGCGGACTTGGGGTCTGGCAGGGACTTGTCTCCTGGCGCACAATGGCCGTCTTCCACTGCGTCCTCACACGGAAGGCTGGAGGAGGGCTCTCTGGGGTCCCCGTTGTCTGGGCACTAATCTCTGTGACAAGACTTGCCCCATCGCGGTCTGATCGCCCACAGGCCCGTTTCCTAATCCCATCACCCCGGGGGCTCGTGTTCAACATGGGAGTGCTGAGGGGACAGAGAGCCCACCCATGTCGGGGTGACAGCTCTGACCGTGCTTCAGGAAGCCGAGCCTGCAGGTGCTGTGGACGGAAGGAGGAGCGTGGAGAACGGCGAGGGAAGAGGGCTCAGGCAGCCTTCCAGCTGAGAGCTGATGAAGGCCAGGCCGGCCTGGGGCAGTGAGCGCCGAGGAGGCATTCCCACCGGGGCCTGTACGCCCAGACATGCCTGCAAAGACGTGTGCTGTTGGGAAACCTCCTGAAGCTGCACGCCCAGGCAGTGGTTGTGCCGGCCTCCTCTGCAGGGCTCCGTGAGTGCCTTGCGGTGAACAGAGCCCCGCCTGACTTGGGCCTGGTCCCTAGCTGCCTCCGCTGTGAGGTAGTGCAGGCTGGCACGTCCCTGAGTGCTGGGCGCCGGGTCTGCAGGCTGTGGGGGCAGCAGCTGTGGGCTGGGAGCGTGCTCCCACGGCAGAGGGTCGTGGGTGAGGGGTGGAGCCTTGGTCTGATCGAGGTGGTGCTAACTGCCTGTCACCTGCTTACACGGCTGTGCGCGTCTGTCCTGAGAAGTTTGTATCTGACGAAGCCCCCGCCCACACCCTGTCGCCTCCATGTGCTGGCTCCCTTCGTTTCCTTTCGTGAGGGAGCTCGAGGTGGGTGTCTGGGACGTGTGGCCAGTACTCAGCAGGGCCAGGGTGTGCGCGAAGCAAAGGGCTTGTAGCAGGTTTCGGGGCTGCCACAGAAGCCGCCGAGTACCTTGCTCGGTGCTGTGGGTCACGGCGGTGGAGGAGGCCTTCCCCCCTGCCTGAGGCTTCAGCAGGTGTTTGCTTTAGGAAAAAACTGATTTCGTGTGTGTTTCCTATTTTATTCCTGTGCTCTCAGCTTTCTGAAGAAGAGAAAATTCAGCGGTACAGCATCCTGTCCGAGCTCTACGAGCTGATCGGCTTCCACCGCAAGTCGGCCTTCTTCAAGCGCGTGGCAGCCATGCAGTGCGTGGCCCCGAGCATCCCAGAGCCCGGCTGGAGGGCCTGCTACAAGCTCCTGCTGGAGACGCTCCCCGGCTACAGCCTGTCGCTGGATCCCAGGGACTTCACCAAAGGTACTGCAAGTCCGAGTCATCGTGAGTCACGCAAGCACCTGTCGAATGTGGCAGACGTCGTGGCCGGGCCCTGCCCTGACGCGGGAGCTTAAAAAACAGGTTACAGCAGAGGTAGTGGTGCTTGCCTCGGGGCTTACCTTCTTAAGTCCTTTTTTTGAGAGAGAGATTTTTGCTATAGGGCACGTGCACTCACCAGAGAGACAGAGAAAGAGAGAGACATTCCTCAGTCTATCAGCGAGGCATGTGCTGGCTGGGAGAACTCACGGCCCTGATGATGAACTGAGTTCTCCGTGGGCACCGCCTGGTACCAGGGCCCTCCCCATGGGTACCGCTCGGTATCGGCCCTCCCCGTGGGCACCGCTCAGTATCGGCCCTCCCCGTGGGCACTGCTCAGTACCGGGGCCCTCTCCAGGCTCTCTCCTACCCGCTCGGTGTGTCAGGTGAGCGGTGGGATGGGGGGAAGACAGCCCTGCCCTCTGACCGATGTGCACATACGGGGGCCATGAGAACACTTGCCGGGGTTGGAGAAGTGGGCAGCCCGGAGTGAGGCCTTTGTCCAGGCTGGCTGTGGGGAAGGGCCGGAGGTCAGGAAGGAAGGGAAGGGGCGTGAGGGGTTGAAGAGTTGCTGGATTTGGGGGAGCCAAGGTGAGACAGAGCCAGGATGAGGATTTAGGATCTAAATGAAGTCCCCGTTGCCCTCGTGGCTGGCGTTTTTTTCTGCCTGTGTCCCGGCTGGAGTCAAATCTGCAAAGAGGTGAAGCAGCGAGGTGGGACAGCTCTTCGGGCTCGCTCTTGTCTCCTCCTTGGTCGGAGCTCTGGGACCAAGTGCCCAGTGTTCTGGGGGTCGGCCCCTACGGCCAGGCCAGCGCCCTTCCTGGGCCTATGTGGCGCCCTGGCACATAGTGGTAAGCACCGTCCTGGTTTTCAGAAGAGGGCAGTGGAGGGACGAGGACAGACCTGTGCCTCAGGCGGCACTGCCACATGCGTGGGCCACCGTGAGCTGTACGCACCTTACACATGTGTGCCTCAGTGAGCTGTTCGCGCCTTACACATGTGTGCCACAGTGAGCTGTTCACACCTTACAGATGTGTGTGCCACAGTGAGCTGTACGCTGGCGCTTCCACATGCGTGTGCTATAGTGAGCTGTACACACTCCCACATGTGTGTGCCACAATGAGCTGTACACTGGCACTCCCACACACATGTGCCACAGTGAGCTGCACACACTCCCACACACGTGTGCCACAGTGAGCTCTATAGTGAGCTGTACACACTCCCACATGTGTGTGCCACAATGAGCTGTACACTGGCACTCCCACACACATGTGCCACAGTGAGCTGCACACACTCCCACACGTGTGTGCCAGTGAACTGTAGACACTCCCATACGTATGTGCCAGTGAGCTGTACATACTCCCACATGCGTGTGCCACAGTGAACTGTACACACTCCCACACGTGCGTGCCGGTGAGCCGAACGCTGGCACTCCTGCTCCCTGTTGGGGTGCCCTGAGAGTGCGGGTGTTTGCCGCCTCCCTCACGCACTCTGACCCCTCCTCGGTGCTGTGAGAAGAAGGGCTGCCAGGACAGCAGGAGCCCTGCACCGTGACACGCTGTCGTAGGCTGGCCAGAGGGCGCCCTGGGCCCCGGCTCAGAAAGCGGCATTGTTCCTGCGGCACGGTGCTGAGCAGCGCTGAAGGGTGTCTCTTCTTTCTTTTTTAATAAACATAGGTCACTAAAGAATTAGTTTTACCATGTCCTTCCTATTGCTACACTTTCTCTTGTGTAGTTTTTAAAAATAGACTATTTTTTTTAGAGACCTTTAGGTTTATCAAAATTGAGCATGAAGCAGGGTCTCCAAACATGCCTGCCCTGACACGCACGCCTCCCGTCGTCGACAGCCCCCACCAGGGTAGCACGTCGTTCTAGTCTGTGGGTCTGGACACGCACCACGCCAGAGCCCAGAGCAGCGTGGAAGGACGCATCCCGCCACTGTGGACTCGACAGATACCACCTGAAAGTCCTCTGTGCTTGCAGCCGGCAGGCGGTGTGGTTGTTAGGGTGCTGGACTCCCACGTGGCTGACTGCGGTTTGGGTCCTGGACCTGGCACTTGAAAATTATGCCAGGTGTATGTGCGTGTGTAACTAAAATCCCAGGGGAATGGAGGAGAGAGATTGCGGTGTGACTACCCCTGGGGGTGACTGCTCACTTTCCTGCTCTGTCTCTGTCCAGTGCACGTGTCCCATAGCAGAAACCAAGAGAAAAGAGCAGGTGCCGCTCGCACACCCCCTGGCGAGCAGCAGGTGCGAGTTCGTGCTGCCCCGCCTGGGTTCTGGCTACTCTCACAGTGCATATCGTGTCCTAAGGTCCCTGTGATTCTCAGTGGCATGTGAGCTTGAGCATCTTCCACATGGCTTCTTCACCACCTATTTATCTTTTCTCTTATAAGTATTTATATAGTTTTATTTATTATTATTGTAAATTTGCTATAGGGCACATGCACGAGAGAGAGAGAGAGAGAGAGAGAGAGAGAGAGAGAGAGAGAGAGTGAGAGAGAGAGAGAGAAAAACAAGCCGCCAGGCCCAGGACTCAGACTTGGTTCGGCCATGTGGGAGTTCAGTGCCCTAATCACCATGCTACCTGCTGGGCCCAGAGATATTTTCATTTATTTAAAAAATTGGGGGCTGGCAGGTGGTGTGTTGGTTAAGGGTGCTGGACTCTCACATGGTTGACTAGTTCAAGTCCTTGACCTGGTGGTTTGCTTTCTCATTCCCACCCCCACTCTGTCCCTTTCTGGTCAAATTAAAAAAATAAAAAATAAAAATAATTGTTTATTAAAAAAATTGTCCTTATTGGGTATTACAAAGGTGATTATTCCGTGTTTGCCAGCTTCCTGCAATGTAAGTGACATATCGGAGTCCCAGCCTGCATTTGTGCCCTCATAGGGGTGTGGGCTGCATGTGCCCAGCCATCTGCCCGTCTCAGGGCTGGGGAGTCCCTACTCGGAGGGCCTGTCTCCAACACAGCCCTGACCCTGCAGCCTTGCTAAGCTCGGGCTGCCACGGTGCTCGGTCCAAGCCCCTCTCTTTCTACTCCACACCTAGGCGCTAGCCGGGCCTCCTGGGGTGTCACTCGTTGCTGAGTGGGGCCTGGCGTGCCACACAAGGTGATGTGTCATTCCTGAGCACCTGCAGCCTGCGATCGCTGCGTGGCCTAGGCCGGGCTCTGCTCCGTGTTCTGGCTCTCAGCTCCCACATCTGTGAAATGGGGACACAGCTTTCGTCCAGTTGGGAGGTCGTTGTGAGGACTGAATCAGTCAGTCTCCGAAGGCGCTTAGGCCAGTGCTCAGCAAAGGCCCACGTGGTTACCATCCCATGAGGTCCTCTGACCCAGCCCAGCACTCTCCATAGCTTCCTGGAGGCCAGCATGGAAGAGGCGAAAGAAGCGTGCCATGTTCCGGGGCGTGCTAGACCTGTGCCCACCTGAGAAGAAGGGGGTGTTGCTGGCATAGCCCTCCGTGACCCCTCGGTTGTCCTGATTGGAGTTAAGGGCAAGAAGAGCCAGAAAAGCCGTAGAAACATGCAGGATTGTATTGAAAGGCTGAGGCACTAATGGAAGGGCAGGGAAGAGACCCGGGGTCTGAGAAGGGAGGACTCAGGTCCGGGCAGGTTTCAGTCTGTTCCGGAGACGTTTGATGGGGCAGAGGTGTGTGCCAGACGTGGGAGAGAGAGTTTTCAGAGCAATTACGCAGTTGCTTTATGGAGAGACGAGGGAGTGTCCTTTAAAAGGTTCCTCTGTGCACTGTGAATGGAGCCCCATTTAGTGTGCTTCTGAGAGACTTCAAGAAAGATTCAAATTGCTTTGCAGTTACCTTTTTCTTTTTGAATGCTTTGAATATAACTCCAGGCTGGCTTCAGGGTAAAAGCAAGCCCCCACCGCCGACTCCTGCAAGTTACAACAGGAGTTGTCTCAGTTCTCCTCTCTAAACCAGGGCCACTCCTCGTCTCGGAGGACCTCGGCCTGAGGTCTGCTAATGGCTCTTCCTACTTGGAGGGACGCTTTTCTGGCCCAGCTCCTCCCAGTCACCCACAGATCTCTGTTCAGTGCCACGTCTTCAGAGAGTCCCCAGTGGTCCTTCAGCCTAAATGGGGTCCTTTCATCTTCCTCTCCCGTTGACTTGTTCTTCCTCACAGCACCTCTCATAGTTTTTACGTACATTAAAAATGGAGGCTGACTTAACGTCCGCTTCTCCCACTACCTGTATGCCCATGAGAGCAGAGGCTCTCGTCTCGCTGTGTCCCACGCTGGGCCGTGGCTGGGGGCCACACGAATGGGGGTAACAGGACCCAGCCCCAAGGAGCAGCTCGGGGCGGGTGATGACAGGTATTGCCATTGATTGAAGAGGGTTTTTTTTTTCCTCACTCTTACTTTATTTTAAAAGAATGATTTTATTCTGTTTTATTTATTATTATTATTATTTCAAAAAAATTTGACCAGAGAGAGACAGAGTGTGAGGGAAAGTGAGGGGCAAGGCACCAGGTCCAGGACTCAAATGTGGTCGCCCCCGTGGGAGTCCAGCGCCTTGACCACCACTCGGACTGCCAGCCCCTTTGCTCTTAATTTTTAAGTGTGACGAGTGAAACATAGTTCTTTCAAAAGATAATAAGCATCTTCTATGTGATCAGAGCTTTTGCTTAGACGTCTGTTCCAGGGAGGGACACTTGCCATTGGTTTGTGGAAGAGATTAGGGATGGAGGGAGGGCCGGGGTTAGATAACGGAAAAGTGGTAACCGTCAGCTGGCAGTGTTTTCCATAAAAATAAAATCACTTTAAAGCCATCCCCACTTCTGCTTTGGACCACTCTGACCTTTCCCAGAGAACTAAATGGAATCTGCTAAGACCCCGCCCCTGTGGATGCAGGTGGGCTGCTAAAACTCTGTTCCTGGGGACCAGCAGTTAGCATAATGACTATGTCATTGAACTCCCATGTAGCCGACTGCGGTTTGAGTCCTGGACCCGGTGGCTTAAACTCACGCTGGGCACGTGTGCGTGCGTGCCCAAGATCCCACGAGGAGAATGGAGGAGAAGGGATTGCGGCGTGGCCATCCCCCCTGGGGGGTGATTTCTCGCTTTCTATCTGTTTCTCTCTGTCTTTCTGGTGAGCGCACGCACCCTATAGCAAAAACCTCTCAAAAAACAAACAAACAAACAAACAAAAAGACCCATTCCTATGGATGCAGGTGGGCTGTGTGCGGTCTCTTTCTCGAAATGAACAATTTGCCTCAGCGGGCTACAGGAGGCTGTCCCAGGAGCACTGAGGCGTGTTGTTTGCCAACCCGAGGGGCAGCTCACTATCATTTAAATCGTCTTTGTGTTGCTGTATATGAAGACTTCTTTTCTTTCTTTTTTTCTTTTTAAAGTTTTAGGGCATGTGCAATTTCTGGAAAGAGACAGCAAGAAATCACCAAGGGGAGGGCCACACTGCAGCCCCTTCTCTTCCACTCTCCTCCTAGGACTTCGGGCACACATACACATGTGCCTGGCATGTTTCAAGCTACCAGGTCTGGGCCTCGAACTGTGGTCTGTCATGTAGGAGTCCAGTACATTAACTACCATGCCACCTGTGGCCCCTGTATATAACAATTTTTGCTCAGGCTTTTTCTAAATGAGAGTTTAAAATTTCCCCAGGAACTCTTAGGAGAAAGATGGAGAAGGCAGTTGGATTTGCTGAAAGGCAACAGCTGATGTATTGCAAATCCCCAAACTGGTGAGCTTTCAATTACAAGAGTGTTGGAAATTTTATCCCTGGGTCAGAGGCTGCAAGTCTGTCTTAAAAAAAAAAAAATCTACATCTTATAGGGGGAACACTTCAAGTCATAGAAATTGTGACTTGAATATTATTACTGTTAAGAAAACTCATACTGGGAACCAGCAGTTAGCGTAATGGCTATGTCGCTGGACTCCCACGTAGTCGACTGCGGTTCGCGTCTCGGACCCAGTGGCGTAAAACTCACGCCGGACGCGTGTGCGTGCGTGCCCAAGATCCCGAGAGGAGAATGGAGGAGAAGGGATTGCGGGCGTGACCATCCCCCCTGGGGGGTGATTTCTTGCTTTCTGTCTCTATGTCTCTCTCTGTCTGTCTGGCGAGCGCACGCGCCCTATAGCAAAAATCTCTCCAAAAAAAAAGATCCCGAGAGGAGAATGGAGGAGAAGGGATTGTGGCGTGGCCACCCCCCCTGGGGGGTGATTTCTCGCTTTCTGTCTCTATGTCTCTCTCTGTCTGGCGAACGCACGTGCCCTATAGCAAAAAAAACCTCTCCAAAAAAAGAAAAAAAAAAGAAAACTCATACTCAGTCTTGGGCACAGTTCCCTGTGGTAGGGGCCGAGCACTGTGTTTTACAAATCAAAGTGGTATTTGCCCTGTTCTTAGGTGAGAAAACCCTTCTTGACGTGGCAGTGTTGACATGAGTTACAGTGTACCGTCCTACGCTCATGGCGTGGTTAGTCACGACATCGAGGTCAGCTGGTTAACCCTTTTGAAAACCTGTCTTTCCTTTTAGCACCTGTGTCACTTCCTTTGAGCACACGGAGATAGCACAGGGCCTTGCCTTTTGCTCCCTGCAGTTGTGGTGTGGAAAGTGCTGCCATTTTGCATCCGAAGATATTTCTAGAAGATAAATTAGGGTATGACGGTGTGTGTGTGTGTATGTGTGTATACGCATGTGTTTAGTCTGCTCCAATAATGTCAATGAAATCAGTACGAGGACCTCCATTGGCTGGTGGTGCGACGTGGGGCCACAGTGCCCTGTGCAGCTGACCCATGGAGGAGGCCCTGGTGAGTGTCCTGAGACCTCCTGGACTACACTGGGCATGCGTGTGCCTGCGCTTGGGCTGGCTGAGGCCTGGCGTGGATCACGGCATCAGGCCCCCATTGGAGGTGCTCTCTCTCTCTCTCTCTTTCTTGCTTATGGAAGAAATACTAAACTTACAAAATTATTATGAAATAATTTGAATATATACAAATTAGATAGTACAGTGAGATTAAATAATTATCACTAATTGGGCCAACGGGTGGCACGGTGGTTAAGGGGCTAGACTCCCCCATGGCTGACCGCAGTTAGAGTTCCAGACCCAGTAGCTTGAAACTCATGCGGAGTGTGTGCGCATGTATGCCCAAAATCCCCAGAGGAGAATGGAGGAGAAGGCTCTGTATGGCCATTCTCACTTTCCCTCTCTCTGTCTCTCTCTCAGGCAAGCGCAAACATCCTATGGCAAAAACCTTAAAAAATTATAGCTGTTTTACCATGTTTGTTGTATTTTTAACCTTCTTCTTTTACTCACTCTTAAATGAAGTATTTGGCAGCAAAGATTCCAGAGATTAGGTTTCAGCCCTGCACGCCTGAGTGCACGTGCCTAACGCACAGGGGCAGACCTCTGTCTTGATCCACACTTGCTGAGTACTAGTGCCTCTGTGCGTCCTGCTAGGCGCTGAGGATCCTGGGGTGGATGAGCCAAGTTCTGGGCCTCCGGAAATTGAGGGTTGATGGAAAAACAAGCAAGTGAACTCATGGGTGCTCCCTGTACTCTCAGACAACTCCTTTGTGTCGGAACGTGTGAATGCTACAGTGGAAATACGGAGCGGGGACTGGGCCGCGTGTAGGCCAGGCGTGGGGAGCGTCGGGCGGTCCTGCGGGGGTGCCTGCGTGTTGAGGAGGGTGAGGCTGACGGACGAGCAGTCACGCCGACTGAGCGGCCGGGAGGAACCTTCTTGATGGCGTCCATTCTTCAGGCACCCTTGATTAAATGCTCAACTGCGTGCTAGGCCCCGTCCCGGGAATACTGTAATAAACGACCTCCCAGGATCTTCAGATCCAGGGACTCAGAACCCGAACAGGGCGTCTCGGCACGCAAGCGTGATTTTCTCCACTAACTGCATCAACAGAGACCTGAACCACGGGGGTCCCTCTTGGCTAAGCCACGGAGCAGGCAGATCCACAGTCATTTCACGCTAGAGTCCGAGCTGCGCGTTGGCCACGTCGTGTGTACTCAGCGATAACGTGAATAGCAACCAGCGTTTTCCGAGAACGTGCGGCAGATAAACCGCTAAGTGAACTTCAGTGGGTTGTCGCGTTCGCACTCACTGCTGTGTGACCCCGTGGCCTCCATCTGCCTTCTTACCCAGCATTCGCCCAGATGCCGCCTGGCCGTCCACCTGCCCCAGGTCACGTGGCGCTGTGGTCCCTGTCGGGGCCTCCCTCCTTACCTGCGCCCCAACAGCGTTCACCACTGCGCTGGTGCCCAAGGCTCTGCCACAGGAACGCCGCTTCCTGTGTTCTCCTCGCTCCGGTGCCCCCTTAGTGATAAGCTCGTTCAGTGTGTGACAGACATGGCCCTTTATAGCGCCCCTCAAGGGTCAGTAAGTGCGGGGGACAGTTCTTGTCCTTTGTGTTTGCTAGTTGAGGTGTTTGTCTTGGGGTCCGCGTGGCCCGTTTGTCCTGCACCCTCTGAAGAACTCCGATGACGGGTGACTTCCGTTGCAGGCACGCACAGAGGCTGGGCTGCTGTCCAGATGCGCCTGCTCCACGAACTGGTCTATGCCTCGCGGAGGATGGGGAACCCCGCGCTGTCCGTCCGACACCTGTCCTTCCTCCTGCAGACCATGCTGGACTTCCTGTCTGACCAGGGTGAGTGCGTGCAAGCTGTGTTTTCAAGGGAATATGGATGCGGGCATTTTGGGCCTCGGTTGGGATGATGCTTACCAGCTCTGTCGATGAGAGGGCCCTGCTGCGCCCTGCCTGGGCTCCCGGTGGCTTTGCTGACCCCTCAGCTCCAAGCCTCCCCCAACCCTTCCTTACCCGTCAGCCAGGGCCTCTCACTCTTCCTGCTGCATCTCAGGCTGCTCCTTCTCAGCCTCGGGCCTCCCCTCCCTTTGCCCACACGTTATGAAACACAAATGGCGGAAGGACACAGCTCGACGTGCTTTCCTGAAGTGGCCGCCCCGCACCAGAAGGGGACCAAACCAGGGCCCTTTGGACCCCTCCTCGCTGCTGCTCCCCTGCAGGGGCCCCTCTGCTCCCCGCAAAACCATGACTGAGTTTGCTCTACCAGGGCCGTGTGGCATCTCTGCCATACCTCAAGGCTGCCTTCCTTGGGTTCCTTCCCGGGCACCCTCTGCTGTCACACTGTCATTTGCACGTGGGGTCATGGCTGTCAGTCTCTGCCCAGGCCCCAGGCGCGCTTGTTTGCTCATGGCGCACCTCCCCTTGGTGCCCTGTGGCATGTGGCGTGTGCAGACCATGTCAGAGGGGACCTCAGCTGCGCCCACCAAGCCTCCCTCTCGCCTGTGTTACCCCAGTTCTGTGCACGAAGCCTCTCTGATGTGGAGGTCACGGTGCAGGCGCAGATCAGGAAGTTCTCTCGGACAGCACCCAGCACAGGAGGGGAGGCCAGGTCGAGTGGCGGAGAGGCTGGCCGCGTGCGGTGCAGCCTGGTGGGCGCTGACGGCTCTGAGCAGGGTGGGTCGCAGAGCTGTGGTGTGTGCGGGTCACCTTGGGGTTATTACGAGTTCTCTGCACACCCAGGGGAGAACTGGGCAGCCATGAGCTTCCCGGCGCTGGTGGGGCTTGGGACCCGCGCACTGCGAGCTTGGTGCCGTGTGCCCGCTGCTCCCAGACAGGGCTGAGTCTTGGGGGAGGCTGCTCTCTCCAGCTGAGGACTGCCCGGGGGTGAGTGGCGCTCTCACCCTGACGGAGCGGGCTCCTCCCTGAAAGGTCTGCTAGAGCGTCACTGTCGACACTGACTTCTCGTGCAGCTGCCCAGGTGGGACGCAGATGCTCACACTCCCCGCTCCGTCACCCCCATGTCCCGGCATTCACAGATCACGTGCCCCTCAGCATTAAAGACCCATGCTGTTTCTCTCCCTCTGCTTTTCCCTGGGCACGCTCTTACCTGGGATCGTGGCAGTCCTGGCTCCAGGGTAAGAGTGTGTACCTCCCGCTAATCCCTTTTTTTTTTTTTTTTTGCTATAGGGCATGTGTGCTCTATAGAGCAGAAAGTGAGAAATCACCCCCCGGGGGGGATGGCCACTCTGCATCCCATCTCCTCCATTCTCCTCTAGGGACCTTGGGCATGCACGCACATGTACTGGCATGAGTTTTAAGTCTTTGTGTCCGGGACTTGAGCCGTGGCCGACTACCTGGGAGTCCAGTGATGTAACAGTGCACCAGTTCCTATACTGCACCTGTAACCAGGCTTACCTGAGTGAGTCCTCCCTGGAAGGGGCTGGCCTGGCGACTCCCTCTTGTGGGCATGAGCAGCCCTTGCTGTTATGGCCAGAGTCCTCATAATTGCTCTCTGCTCCATTCACACCACCACACACTGGGCCCCTGAGATCGTTGCTCTTTTCTTTCTACTAGAAGTAGTGGGGGCAAAATAAAATTAAGATGCAAGTTTGGTGATGGTAGAATGTTTTTTCCTCCATGGAATTCCAAGTGAGGTCAGAAGGGTCTTCTCAACTTGGATAAGTGACAGAGCCCTGATGGGACCCACTGGAGTCTAAACCAAGCGGTGTGTGGGAAGGAGGGGGCAGCTCTGCAGTGAGGCCTCTCTTTCTGGGAGCGTGTGCGCACGCACATGTGCACCTTTGTGTGTGTGTGTGCGCGGAGAGCTAATTCTCAGTGAGGACATGGAACAGGCAGGTCCCTCCCCTGCCATCCCGCCTCCCTTAGATTCCCGTTGTTCTGCGTTTGACCAACAGCAGCCTGACGCTGAGGCCCGAGGTGTGAAGGCCCGCTTGTCCTGGGAGACGGGGAGCATGGCCACCGGGTCAGGCTGGTGTAACTTGGGTGGCGGATCTGTGTGCCCACACAGTGCTGACGGTCTCTTGCTGGGGACGCAAGGTCATCTTAATTAGTGGCCGGGAGACGTTAGTTTGCAGGAGAAGACCTTGGGACGTCTGATGCTGTTGGCCGGGAGCTGCCTCCTGGAAGGCCCGTGTGTGATGATATTTGGGTAATTGGAGCCTCCTGAGGAAAGGACGGGCGTGAGGAGGTCGGAAGGGTTACCTCCGCTCACCTCAGCCTCTAATTGCTGTGACCTCGATCAATGCGAAGCCCTTGCCAGCTTCCAGGTCCTCGCTGGACACCTGGGATCAGCACGCTCTGTGTGAGTTCATTACTTTTTCTGATGGATATTTAAATCGTGGGCTGACCTTTCCTCTGACGAGCCCCTGGTACCGCTCAGAGACTTGATAATGAACGTGTCTCAGCGTCGCTGCAGCGCAACTCAGCATGAGAGAAGAGCCGCCGAGGGGGATGGCAGGACGAGGCCGGGAGGAGTTCTGGCCACCTTGCCGCTTGGTTGGTCTCGGTTGAAGAGGGCATGATCTGGGGAGCTCCTGCCTTGCCCCCTCGCGTGGGCAGCTTCAGTGAAGCTGCAGGCTAAGTCCCGGGGCAGGTATTCACCAAAACAGCTCCCAGTTCCCCACAGCCTTTCTCTGCTCTTCTCACGATTGTCACGTTGTCCAGGACAATGACTGGACGGTGACTGCAGGACTGCTGAGCCCTCGTGTCACATGCCTGCTGGCCCCAGAGCTCCCCACTCTGGCTGTGGAGGTGCTGGTCTGCTCCCCACCCTGCTACCCTGTAGCTCCTCAAGGACAAGGACTGTCACTAATTCGGCCCTTGCCTTGGCTGTCGCAGGACGAGTGTGTTGTCCCTGACACCAGTTCCAGTGGAAGAGCTGCTTTGAGATCAGACAATTCAGAGAGGGAGCGTGGGAGGCTTAGCTAGGTGAATGATTTCAGGGATTCAGATGGAATGCCCCAGGCGAGGGGATGAGATTGGACCACATTTTGGATACGCCGGTTAAAAACTTGCACACTATAAATAACTCATGTTCTCGCTGGAGTGAGAAGACCGTGGACGATGAAAGAGGATGCTCCCGAGGCTGCGAGGGGCCCGCCAGCAAACTCGCGTTAAGGATGTGCCTCATTTCAAAGCATTTCTGTGTCAGAGCAGCTTCGCCGTGTTCCAAGGGTGGGGAGTGCTGTGTTCTTGCTCTGGAGTGTAGCTGCTTTATCAGAAAAATTTGCATTTCGTGTGGCTGCCTGGGCTCGTCCCTGCTGGGATCTGAAGATTTCTGTGTGCTGGCTCTGGTGCAGTTCAGCATTTTGCTGGAGGACTCTGGGTGGATGCTGTTTCCTTGAAAAGCTCGCTGAGCACAGCTTTCGCATCTACCTTGCAGGGCAGTTGTGAGGACTGGAGACACCGTACCTGAAGTGCATAGCAATTTCTGCCTGGTGCGAAGGAGCGCCGAGTAAATGCGGGGCGGCACTGTTTTCCTCCCGAGGCCTGGACACCTGGGCCTCCACTGGAGGTCAGTGGCTCTTTTGCCACAGGTACCTGCAGAGGACCCTGAGAGAGACCCAGGAATAGCAGCGTGGTCCCAGAGGGCTAGCACGCGTGGGTGCTGCGTGTTTCCAAGACGTGCTGCTGCTATAACCTGGGTTTCATGTTGAATTAACAGTAGCATGGCTCTTCTGTGAGCAGAGAGAGGATGGGAGGGGCCGGCCAAGGGAGAGGGAGGGCTGTGCCTCCGGGAAGTGTCCCCCGGCTGGGAGTGGGGCATGGAACTGGTGCCTTAGAACGCCAGACTGTGATGTCCAAGACCCCGAGCTCCCCCCGTTGGGGCTGTGGCGTTGCCTTGTCCTCGGGAGTGTGGGTCTGGGCGAGGCCGTCAGTTTGCCGTGGCACTGTGGGAGCGTGGAGCCCAGCTGTGGTCGTGTCCAACCTGAACTGGATCTCCTCTTGGAGCTCGTGGTCATATAACATGTGGGGTCTTGCTAGCCTCCACCCCGAGGCAAGGCGGGAAGTGAATGGAGGCATGCAGATCCGGACATAGGTTTTTGTTTTCTAAGATTTGGATGTAGAGTGTGTGCACTCGCTGGAGACAGTGTGAAAGTAAGAGGAAAGAAATTGTGCCCCCAGAGGGATGGCCACACCACAGTCCCTTTCCCTTCTTCCTCCTCTCGGGATTTCAGGCACACACGCACACGTGCCCGGTGTGATTTTCAAGCTGCCTGGTCCAGGATGCGAACCCCACAGTCGGCCATGTGGCTTGTGCACACTACTGGTGACTAGGATCTTACTGGCCTCAGTAAACTGAGTATTGCCGTCCCAGCCTGTAGGTTGGTGTGAGAAGGGATGAAATGATGCCCGCGTGACTTAGGACACCAGGAATCCGTTCCCTCGGTTCCCCAGCTGCTCTGAGCTCCAGACGTGGGTGCCCACTGCTCTGGGGTGTTTAAGTGTCAGAGACTTCCAGAACAGCTGTCGCCGTGCTGTGCCCCTCTCCCCATATCAGTTGTGCTTTTGCCTTCAGGAAACAAAATATCTTACCAAAGAAATTAAAAAAATTGTTCAGGGGGACTAGCACATGGCCTAATGGTTGTGTCCCTGACCATATGGTGGACCGTGGTTCAAGTCCCGGATGTGGTGGCTTGGAACTCATGGCGGGTGCAGGTGCATGTGTGCGCGTGCCAAGATCCTGAGAGGAGAAGGGAGAAGGGATTGCAGTGTGACCATCCCCCCAGGGGGTGACTTCTCGTTTCTGTCTCTCTCTCTAGCGAGTACATGCACCTAATAGTCAAAATCTCTGTTAAAAAAATTGATGGGAGGAAATAACG